TCCATGATTGGAGGGAGCTCTGTGAGGGAGATAGCATCTGTAAAAGGACTCCACTTCTTGTCATGAATGAAGCATACAGCTCGTGGCTATTGTTGTCATGTTGCTGACCAGATGTCTCCCTGATGCTCCTCATGGATAAAATGTCAAAAAAAGAAGACTCCCACATTACCCACATTTCAGCCAACATTCCCACCCTTTCTTCTCCTCCTCCCTTTGTCGGCACATCCAGCTACATCTGTGTAAATGCACCATATGGTACACGCTGGGATTTAAATGAGTTCAGCTCATTTACATACTTATAATTCATATGTGTTGATTTTGTGATGTTGATGTTGCCTGCTGCAGGGCTCTGGATGAGGGCCGCTGTGTGGTGGGATGCGCCAGTGGGAAGTACCAGTCGGGTGGCCGGTGTCACCTGTGCGACCACACCTGTGCCACGTGTGTGGACGCGGGGCCAGCCAACTGCACGAGCTGTGACACCGGTGAGTACGAAATGAGCAGCTCGCGGTAAGTGTGACGTGGTGTGTGCAGTATGTGAATGGAAAACTGGCTGAGACATTAAAAAGATGAAAAGGAAGGAAAAATGATATTTTGTAAATATAAAGCCACAAACTCCCCAAGGGCTACACTAAAACTTTGAGATTTAGGCTGGAGCCTATCCCAGCTGTCATGAAGTGAGAGGCATGGTGCACACCATGTACAGGTGTACAAACGGGTTCATCCTCATTTTCATGCGCCACCCTCCCTGACTCTGTCTTTATTGTTTCTCACACTCTTCACGAATCCATCTGGAGGCCCCGTGAGCCGCAGGCAGTCCTCACTGAGGCCTTCCCCAAACCCCAGCCACAGATGAATGCTTAGTCCATTCACCATTCTCTTAAAGAAATGGCCTCAAACCTAACTACAGACGTGGCTTTCTAGTGAAATTGCTGTTTATTCTCCAGATAAGTTTAAGGTGGAGCGTTACCTCTATAAAGGCATGTGTCTGGACGCCTGTCCTGAGGCTTTCTACCACACCAAGCAGAGGACCTGCGAGCCCTGTGTAGACCACTGCCGACTCTGCACAGGCCCCAACCACTGCCTGAAGTGTAACGCCTCCTACTATGTCTCTGATGGATCCTGTGTTAAGCTGGAGTGTGGGGAAGGTAAGCAAGGTTGCATGTTGAGGAGTGTTTAAGGAGCGTTGTTTCACACCTGTCCACACTGACCTCGCGCTCTCACCCTCCGCTCTCTGTCTCCTTTCCCAGGTGAGGTGGAAGACCCAGATTATGACGACTGCATGGCCTGCGAGCAAGGCTGCAAGAAGTGTGTCCTGTGTAAGTCACGACCCAGTAGCCATAATAAAGTTTTCCCAAATGAATGTCGCCCACAGTGGAAAAAAATTAAGGTGTCCCCGCCCCTGTAGGTCCCCTTAAAAAAAAAAAAAAAAGGTGGCTGAATTTTTCTTTTTCTTTTTTTTTTGTCTGCTTTTGACAGATAACCCCAGGCATTGTCTGTCCTGCATTGAGGGCTTTTACAAGTAAGGCTGTGTGCCTCGCTCTCACCGTGTGTGATCTCGCCATTCTGGGCTCACTTTTCTCTTTCATTTAATCTCTGAGCTAATGCAAAAGACCTCCGCTGGCAGTGAGAGTAGAGTTCATGTTTGTGTGTGATGCAAACATCAACTGTTGCTTCTTGTCGTCAGTTTCCAGGATGGCTGCTACAAAAACTGCCCGGCTAAGACGTACAGCGTAGAAGAAGAAATGACCTGCATCCCGTGTGACGACAACTGCGTGAGCTGCGATGAACACGAGTGCTACTGGTGTGAGAGCGACCTCTTCTTATTAGGTATTTTGCCCTCGTTGGGTAAGACGTGAAGCTACACTCAAAGAATATTTTTTGCCCATATAAACACTGAAACAATCATTTTGCACAAAACGCAACTAAAATCTATAAAATCAAATTCATTATTCATTCAAATAATTATTCATACAGGAAAATATGCTCAGTATAAACTAAATGCATACAAATCAATTTACAATTTACATTTCATTTGACCAGATTCCATTAAATGTAACATTTTTACATTGTAAGTATGTAACAGAATTATATGGAACCTTCATGTAATTAAATTACTTACATCAGCATTTTGGGGATAAATATTTTTGGAGTTAGTAAAGGATTATTTACATCATCGTTATTGAAGTGCTATAAGTTATCAGCATGGACAGAGACCCTGTCATCATTTTATTTGCAATAACATATGAAATCATTTTTTAAGAGTAAAGCATGAGATTAGATGGATTTTTGTGATGCGTGCCATTAAATGCTTTAGTGTTATAACTATCTAGATAGAAAATATAATAGGCAAGTAACTGGATAGGTCAATTAGTGCACAAGCAAACAAAAACTGAAATATTATTTTATAAAAATGGCATATCCATCCATTTCTTAGATATAGTGAAGGAGGCTATGTAGATGGTTGGTCTGACAGAAGAGGATTCTAGGGAGAGGCAGGTGATCTGCTGTGACTCGTAAAGGGAGCAGCTGGAAGATGAATAAGATCCATTTTCTTCCGGTTATCCAGCTCAGGCCCATGAAGGGTGTGATGGAGGGTGACAATCCCAGCTGACATAGGGCAAGAATCAGAGTACACCCTGGACAAGTCACCAATCTGTTGCAGGGTGACAAAGAAACACCTATGGCCAGATTTTAGAATTTTTGAAAGTTAGAAAAGAAAGAAAAGCTTTAAGACAACATGGATAATCCACAAAGGACCAGTTGGACCTCACCAGTCCTCCCAGTCTTCAGTAAAAATAATTTTTTTCTCACAGATGGTTAGTCATTTATTAGAGCAATCGTTAAAAACCAATGCAAATGACTTATTTTTTCATATATTAATATATTATTAATTATATTAATACATAGTGATACTGTCTTTGGGTAATTTAGTATTTTAGTATTTCTAAACTTTTTAAACTGATGTGTGAAACTGCTGAAGGCTGCTTTAATGTAAAGTGCAGCCTGCCCACCTGGATCACATGAAGTACTTATCAGAGGCTACGTTTTTTTTTCCTCAGAGGGGAAGTGCGTTTCAGAATGTCCGGATGGTTTCTACGGCGATGAAGACTCCAATAACTGCGAGGAGTGTCACTCGGACTGTGTGACATGTAGCGGCCCCGAGGACGAGGACTGTCTGTTGTGTGAGGAGGGAAAGGCGCTAGAAAATGGAGAGTGTGTGTCTGACCATGAGGTCTGTCCCATTAAGACCTTTCTCAGCGGTGAGACTAATACTTGTATTCCACTAATCCATCTGTCTGCCCATAATGAATCAGGGATTTGGGCACTTTCACAGGAGCAGAAAAGAAATCTTGGAGGGTAATTGGTCTGTGTGCCACTGTCCCTGAACTCTGTACCAACTTAAGTACCCAAAAACAGAATGCATGTCAGCCAGACACAGAATTAGAAATAATTGATTGTGTGCGTTGAACATTTTGTTCCCTTCGCAAATTAGTTTGACAGACCTTACACAATGTATGGTAATTAGTTTGAGGCAAGACATCTTAATTATTAGAAACTTAAATAACTCTGAGAAAAGTGCATAGGTTAATACAAAGATTGAAAACGAGCACGGGGAAATAAAGTTATTCTCAAACTTTAAATCTGAGCAGTGACAAAGCTCAATTTAAGTTTCAAATGAGTACTCGTTTTAGGTTTTAAGTCTTCGATAGCTTAGATAAGTTAGACAGATGAGTAATGTATCATCTGTTGAATCTAAATAAAAAGCAAAAGGACAAGTAAGGGTTTATCCATGATTATGTTGGAATTAGTTTTTCCCCACTTTGTGTGAACTGTAGCCGGCACCTCTGGCTGACTTCTAGCATGGTAAATGGTATGTCATCCAGATATGGGCCAGGCCTGGCGTAGATGGCACTGTTTATGTGATGGCATGCCATATCTGTCCCGATTGTGGTTTGGTTTATGTGGCCCAGGCTCATAGAAAACAGGTCTGGCCTGGACCTGGCATCAAGCTGGCACTTCTGACTGACTGATGTCATGGCAGAGTGTAAACCAGACGTGGGCCAGGTCAGGCAGTGATGTTCCTATGTGTTCCTATTTTCCTATTTTAGTTAGAAGACCCAAATGCCATG